TGCCTGGTTTCCTAGATGTGACATGGTGTGAGAAACTGGAATGTTGATCAAGATGGAAGATAATTTCCTGGTTTTGTCTTGCCAGGTATCTCAAAAAAGATCGTCCAGGAAGTTATTGTTCTCTGTTTTAGAAAGTATGTAGTGGTTAAGGCTTTTTTTTTTGTTCAGAGACAAACAACTTGATGAAGATGAAACTGTAATTTTAGCCAAAACCTCCCTTTGATTGACATCTAGTACACTGAAAGATACAAAAACTCACACTGCCTGGACAAGGAATTTCAAAATCCCTATTCAGACTAAATCAGAATTGCCCAGGCTATGATTTTCTCTGTGGTTCCTAATGGATGAGAAAAGCTGAACAATAAATAAGTAAAACAGGAAAAATATAGATGCCTTCGAACTTTGGTGTTGGCGAAGACTTTTAAGAGTACCTTGGAAGGTAAGGAAAACAAATGAATGGATCCTAGACCAAGTGAAGCCTCACCACCTCACTTGAGGCCTAGTTAACCAAGTTGGACATATTCGGAGAAGAACAAATTGAAAAAGACCATTGTGCTTGAAAGAGTTGAAGGTAAAAGACAGAGAGGACGAGCAGCTACAAGATGGATAGATACAATCAGAGGAATCTTGAACCAGCCATTCAGAAGCCTAAAAACCCAAACAGAAGACAGGATATTGTAGAGGGACACTATCCATATGGTCGCCAGGAGTCAGAAACGACCTAATGCCGCTTAATATTAATAATAATGATAATAATAGTTCATCAGGGGAACATCTGTAATGAAATTATTACACATTTCCTCAGGGATTAACTGTTGCTTTGGGACATCAATAAAATTACCACAGGACAAGTAAAACCTTGTTTCCAAAAAAGTTATGATGCTGTGCAAAATGTAGATAAAAACAGAATGCAATAATGTGCAAATTATTTAAACCCTGTATTTAATTATAAATAGTATAAAGACAACATATCAAATGTTGAAGCTGAGACTTTTTTTTCTTTTTTGAACAACATATGCCTGTTCTGAATTTGATGCCAGCAACATGTTTCAAAAAAGTATGGAAATGGGCAACAAAAGACTGGGAAAGTTGTGAAATGCTAACATCTGGTGATTAATTGGCAACAGGTCAGCAACATGATTGGGTATAAAAAGTGCATCCTGAGAGGCTGAGTCTTTCAGAAGTAAAGATGATGAGGGGTTCACCACATTGTGAAAGACTGCACGGGCAAATATTGCAAGAATTGCTTCTGGATTAACAATATCACTGAAGAAAATAATCTTTATATTTCATATTTACAACAATAAATACATGTTGTATTTGTGTATTTAAAGTGTATTTATTAACTAAACTCAACAGTAGAGATTTAATAGTTTGCATGCTTTCACTGTTTTCTGTTCTCATTGATTCTGTTCACCTCACTTTGTTGAATATTGTAGAGCTTTTCCGGCTGTCTACACATTTGGCCCAACGTTCCGAGCAGAGAATTCCCAGAGCAGGAGGCACCTGGCTGAGTTTTATATGGTGGAGGCCGAAATCTCCTTCATCGAGTCCCTGGAGGACCTCATGAAGGTCAGCCACTGAGCCTTACTGACCTACTGAATAAACTACACCATTACACGACTTCACTATGATCTTTCTCAACTTTTAAGGAAATATGAAGCATAAAAAGGCTAACAGGGCCTTTTAAAAAAATGGAAAGCTACTTTGAACTAGTTAGCATCTCATTTGCAAAATGCTAACCGCCCTCTATCACCTTTCATCCATTATCAGAAACATTAACTTTTTGTGAAGTATTCCTTTACTGTTATTCATATGAACTGATCACCTGACTTGTTTCCGTTTTATTTTTCTATGGAAGTTTCCTGCAAATACAGACTAAAGCAAATTTACTCTGGTGTCTGTTTGGTTGTTTGCAGTCATCCTGTTTAAATATACAGTGTTGTAAATGTCCTGTGGGTTTGACTGTTCCAATTCTCAGGTCATGGAGGACCTGTTCAAGGCCAGCACAGAGCATCTGCTCTCTCAGTGTGCTGAGGACGTGGGCTTATTTCATAAATTTATCTCACCTGGTCAAAGGGTAAGGCATGACACTCCCTCAACGTGTTCTGGCTTTGAAATATGAGAAATATGATTTAACTTTGTGTCTTATCGGCAGGAAAAAGTGGACCTCATGCTGAAAAGCAGCTTTAATGTGTATGTATAGTTTTTCCTGATCATAATCATATTAATAGTCAGTTATCAGCAAATTGTTAAAGACACCATAATTTGAGGCCCGGTACTAATATTCATGAGCCTGAAGGCTTTGGTTTCCATGCAGTCATGTCAAACATGACATCCTTTCTGTTCTGTAGTGAAGAGTTCATGTCTTTGTGGGCATAAGAAATATTTAAATTACTGTAAAAAATGTGCTTTAAAATGGTTTCAGGATAATAAAATGCAGTATGACAGTTATATGACTGACCAGTGGAATGCAGGAATGCTCTTATTATGAAGTAATACATATTATTTGTTGTTAATCTTGGAAAATTTGTTTGTGTTCTATAGCATTTCTTATACAGAAGCAATTGACATTCTAAGCCGCAATTCAGAGCAATTCACCTTTAAAACAGAGGCAAGTGATTGTACAACAAAACATAAGCTGCTTTGCTTTAGAATGTTCTTCTCAGTGCTCCTGGTATGTCTGACTCTCTCTCTCTCTCTGTCTCTGTCTCTCTCTCTCTCTCTCTCTCTCTCTCTCTCTCTCTCTTTCTCTCTCTTTCTCTTTCTCTCTCTTTCTCTGCCCCACATACTCATCCTCTATTTCTCCCCAGTAGTGGGGCTGTGATCTTCAGACAGAGCATGAGAAATTCCTAGTTAAGCATTGTGGAAATGTTCCAGTTTTTGTGACTGATTATCCATATGACCTGAAGCCTTTTTACGCCAGGGACAACCAGGACCAGCCTCGGCACACGGTAAGAATGAGCATAGAGCCACATTTACTGTGGCTTCTTTGTATTGGGCAACATATGAAGAGTAGAATCTGAACAGAATCTTAAGCTGCAAGCAGTGGTAGAAAACATTTTATGCAGCCAGGTATTGACAGGTTTGGGGAAAAAACACATTTAAGAACTAAAACACTGATTGCAATGCTTGCTTGATTGCATCTGTACCTGATGTAGTCTCAAAAAAATGGAGTGAGCTGAATATCAACAGCAGTGTTTACCATGAGGTGTGAAAAATGCTTTAGTCACAAAGTTCATTTATTTATGAATAAGAATTTGTATGTGAAACCAACTGTATATGAAACATTCTTCTTGATTCCAGTGTTCTCTGAGAGTCTGAGAGGACATAGTTTTTTTTCTCGTAGTCTCTCATAGAGTGTGCCCTCCTTTTTGCTTTGCTTGACTATTTCATTCAGGCCATAATTCTGATGATTTTGTTCTCAGGCTGCTGCTGTAGACCTCTTGGTGCCGGGTGTGGGGGAACTGTGTGGCGGTTCTCTCAGAGAGGAAAGACTAGAGCTATTAAAGACTCGACTAGCACAGTAAGAGAAATGCAGGTTGTTGCGTAGGTTGATGTGGATGTTGAAGTATAGCTCTTTGCCTCCTCAATTTAAAGATGTGTTTGGGTTTGACAGTTTGGGTTTGACAGTGATGGAGAAAATAAGCTATGGCCCTTCTAACAACCAGTTCTCAACCCAGCTGAACACATATAGGAGACATTGGACTCTCATGTAAGACAGTGCCATCTTTAAAACACCAGACACCATCATTAAAACACCAACTATATGAATATCTTTTAAAAGAATGGTGTTCCCTCCCTCCGGTACAGTTCTAAAGACTCATAAAATCTGTGCCATTGTGCATTGAAGCTGTAATGGTGGTTCTGATGGCCCAACAGTTTTTTTCTCTATTTGTCACTTGTCTGTTTGTCATGTTATTATATTTAAATAGTGTAGCCAGATGACAGTAATTAGTCTTTTAAGAGTTTATTTATTGTTTTCCATGTTAGGACTCATGGGAAAACTACTTTACCACTGATCACATCCACCAATTATAATATTTCTCTCTCTACACATTTGTTTTTCCTTCTTTCCTCAGGGCTGGATTGGAGGACACATATGCATGGTAGGGATCATGATGAGGTCAAGTCACATTTCAGAGCTCAGTGTGTCCCAGCTGAACTGAATATGCAGCTAATCACATTGTCTCTCCATTTTTCAGGTACCTGCAGCTGAGGCAGTTCGGTTCAGTCCCTCATGGTGGCTTTGGGATGGGCTTCGAGAGGTACCTGCAGTGCGTTTTAGGAGTCGACAACATCAAAGACACTGTTCCGTTTGCACGCTCTTCACGCTCCTGCCTTTTATGAAGGAGCCTCATATAAAATTATTACACAGTGATGGAATGGATTTGTTATTGTTGTGTATGTCCTGGTAGAGTGACTAATGTGGCCAAATGGTGGGGCGAATCATGTCTTTTGAATAATGGCTTTTTAATGCACAGAAACAGATGGTGAGAGATGGTAAATTATTTCAGATTTCATTAAGAATTTTGTGGGTGTTTATTTTAATGAGAAAATTCTAGCTCCTTGACAAATGTTTCAATATGCAATAAATAGCCTCTCTTGTAAAATTAACTCCGACATAAATAAACAAAATATGCAAAAGTGTGAGCACTGAAACAGCCACAATCTTCAACACAAAGCACATTTCTGAATTCGACAGTGTGCTGTCAAGACAGGCTAAACATTGGCAGATTTCTATATAGATCATTTCAGTTTGCCAAACATAGTGCTTGAAGACCCTTCCTGACAGTTCACTTGAATTAGAGGTCAAGGAAAGATGCATTTAGCTCTGATCTACTGTTTACATATGAACATGCTTATTTAATTACATCTAAAAACATCAAATGTTTTAAAGTAACACCTCTGGTTTGTAAACACTTCAGAAAGTGAACTTCCCAGCACACTGTTCATGTCATTATCAAAGGTGTGGCTCTGTATTTATTTGCAAAGACAGAGGTTAGTTCCTGCCAGTAACTTTGTATTGTCTGGCTTTGGTAATGTGAACAGAACTGCCACATGCAGCCCTTCTAATTAGTGAATTCAGCTACTTTACGCTGCACCCATAGCTGACACAGCATCCAGTTGCACACACCCAGCTTCATCATTTCCATAGAAGAGCACTGCGATTAGACTGGGCCGCTATGGAGCAGCTGCACATGAGTCTGAGGTCACCATGCCCAATACCGAGCGCCAGTAAGAGGGGTAAAAAGCCCCATAAGCATTGTGGAACCGTGTGACTGTGTTCTCTGGAGTGATGAAGCAACATTCAAAACCTTTGGGATGAGTTGGAGTAGCATTTGTGATCCAGAAATGATCATCCAACATCAGTACTTGACCTCACTAATGCTCTTGTGTCTGAATGCAATCAGTTGTTTACAACAGTGCTCCAACATCTAGTGTAAAGTCTTTCCAGAAGAGTAGAGGTGGTTATTACAGCAAAGAGGGAACAAACTTTAACATCCTTGATTTCAGAAGAAACGTGTGAAGAACCTTTGGACAGAGAGTGAAGGAACATACACAGTAGCAAGTATAGTGGACATCAGTGTGTTCATTGTTAATTATTACAGCAAGAAAAACAGAGATTGTTAATAACTTGTCAATAATTTTTCATGCTAAAACCAAGGCATGAGGGTTGATTAAGTGAAGCTGCACTTCTCTACTTGACCACTAGATGGTGGCTTTTTCTAACCAACTGCCCTGTGCTCTGTGCTCACAGTTGGTTATTAGACTGTATACTATGTATTTACCTTCATTTTAATAATGTAAAAATATAAATTCTCACGTGGCTTGCATGGTTATTTTAAAACATGCTATTTTATTTTAAGACATTTGAAACATTCTAAATATAATGTTAACAATGTTTTAACCCAGTAAAGTTCATACAGAGGCATAAATGAGCAGCAGAATTAGTAATACAACACTTCGACACTGCCTTATCAACCACAAAGTCTCTGGGAATGTGCTAATGTGCTCGCAAAACATGAAACATGGTATGAAGGGGAAAAACCAGCGTGCGTTAACTTTTATTCACACCCGTATTCCGACAAACCCCGCCTCTCCGCTTGTGAGTGCGCATTATTAGCCAATTATAGCGCAAGGGGGCCTTGTCGGAATACGGGCGTGAAAGAAAACAAAAATAACGTTTGACTCTGCTTCCCACACACAGTCCAGCTCGAGTGAACCGCGCGTCTGCCGTCTTTGGCTTTCTGAAACGGAGAGTGTCACAGCGACTTTAACGGCAAGTTCAGAGGCCAAATGGCCCTCGGTCCAGTTCGCCTGGCACATTCGGGCCATCACTGAACGAGGCAGCAGATGGCTCTGTCTAAATGGCACTGCATCGTCTGAGGATACTAGTTGTGCCTGTGTGAGCCGTAGCGAGCAGTTGTAGCTGAACATGAGCGGCGGGGAGATCATCTGCCAGGGCTGGCTGAGGAAGTCTCCACCGGAGAAGAAGCTCCGAAGATATGTAAGTTTTTTTTAAACCCACTTTCTTTCGCGTTACCTCACTTTTTACCTCAGTTTCAGTCACCAAAGACTACTAGGTGTGAGAAACGCTTGGTTCAACTTTTCCTGCGCAGCCTCACCCTCTCGTACCCACCTCCAAATCTGCTGTGCGTTCTAGTGTGATTGAGATTAATTGAGGTGCAGAGTGAGGCGGCTGCAGCAGTATGTCAGAAAAGTGTGCTGGGGTTTGAGCAATAGCAGGTGCGCTCTGTTGGCTTCTGCTCTTGCTTTTCGAGCCTATTTTAAAGATCCTTTACCCAACATTGTTCTTAATTCATATTTTTCCCACTGCAGTCCACTTATAATATTTGTGAGCCATCTCCCCTGACCATTTTCTTAAACCATGACCATTCCCTGACCATTTTCTATCTTTCTTAAACTCTTAGAATTGAACAGGCTCTTTTAGTTACTGTGCTTTTAAAATCCATATGTAAATGATCTCTGTTCTGATTGGCTGCCATATAATTGTGCCTCATTTAGAAAGCAGTCTGGGCTGAAACACTCCTAATAACTTCAGCGCTAATGGGCGGGGCTAAACTGCTGTGGCTGAATAGGTGGATAAATGTCGTGTTGTTTTTTGTGACATCATGAAAAATATTAAACATGCTCTGTTTTTAGTTTGTATATATGGACTATATGGACTGGGGAATTAAGGATATGTTTTGAAGTTTTAATAATGTTTATATATGACATCAAATTAACCCCCCACCAGCGCCCACCCCAAGAAAAAAACAAACTGCATCCCTATTTTATGCGCATGGTAATGCTAGCTTTCTGTGTTATTATCTGGATTTAACTGTAGCAGTGCTGAAACTGTATGCACAATGGGGTTTAAAGATGCTATGGAGCCACCGTCTGTCTCCTAATTCTGTTTGGGACAGCTGGCCACACAACTGTTCCTGTTAAGGGAGCAGGGTCTGATCTCGTAATGCTGGTAATGAAGCAGTGAGGTGCTGTGGACCATTTTGCCTTCCCTCCTGCCATGGTGTCTGGACACTGGGGAACAATGCTTTCTGGTTTGCAAGAGGAGATTTTTTTTTTTTGCAAAAGCAAGGAAAGCTTACAGCTCCTGCTCTCATAAATACAGCTGTCCCGATGTTTATCTACAGGGTTACGTTACAGAACCTCTCCATCCTCCTGCCTAACTTTGCCATGATGTCATCGCTCTCTCTCTCTCCATTTCTTTTCTTTCTCTTGCTTGGTTGCATCGGGAAAGCCTGTATCTCCACGTCTTCACACATACTAGGTCATTTCCTCATTGTCTTCCTTATAAAGCTTCCTTGTCTTGTACGGAGCTGCTCAGGAACCGCTCATGTCAAAACAAACAGGCCAGCTGCAGTCAAGAGGAAAGCCATGTTACAGCAGCACAGAGCTAAATGCCAGCGCCGCCGATTCCTCTGACAGCCGTATGAAGCTACAGGCAGTGGAGGTACAGGGCATTCGTAAAAATACAGGACAGCGTTCTCATCCACTTAGCAAAAGACAACAGAGCAGAAAGGCAGACAGCAGACATGGGACAGAGCCTGGCAGCATCAACAACACTAATCGTCCCATCTGAAAATTCCTTCCACTTAAATGGGCTTGGATGGCTAGTGGTGGACAATGCAGGCCATTTAGTGCACAGGATTGCTGTCATCTGACATTGCTGACATCCTAATGTAGAGAGATATTTTAAGCAGCTGTGGACTTCAGCATTCCTGCATTAAGGTGTTGGAATAACAGCCCAAACCTCCAGCCTCTATGTTGCCTGCATTCTTTTTGGTGATATGCGCTATTTTATTGGGCAAATATGTAAGATCACAAGTTTTTCACTATATTCATTTTTTTGAGGTTTGATAAGTTGATGCAGACAAAAAGACAAAAAAATACATTTCAAAACTGTCAAAACTATGAATACAGTGTCTTCTGTTCAGTATTTCACATAATGCGCTGCACGGAATCCAGTAAAACAGGCCTAATTATTTATAGCATGCAGTTGGTCAGTGTTCTTTAAAAGGCCCATATCCAACATTTTTCTGTACTTTATTTTTCTCCTTGACGTCCACTTATAACTTATAACATTTGTATGTGTTTTATTTACAAAAAAAAAGTCACAATTCATTGTTACGTGACCATTTTTCAACCTCTTAATTCCTTAAATTAAACAGGCTGTTTTTTTCTTAATACACTTTTAAGACTGATCTATCCCTGTTGTCCAAAATAAAAATACCTTCATTTGTTGCAATTTTTAGTTTTCTGGATTATTTTGAGCTCAGCAGCTGTCTTTACATTGTGTGAAAATGTCATGATGTTTGGACCAATAGAAATGCTCCAAAATTGCTTTGAAAAAGATCTGTTTACATTAACTTACATCGAAAGTAAAGAATGTTTTTGCCCTCGCCTGCTAAGTTACCATTTTGGAGATACTTGTTTTCCTTTGGACAACGGCTCTCTGTAAATGAGCTCCATTCTGATTGGTTGCCCTGTAATCGGGCCTCTTTTAAAAAGCAGTTCAGGCAGAAACGCTGCCTATAACGTCAGCATGACTGGGTGTAGCTAACTCTAGGTTAAGTAGGTGGATGTATGTAAATGTTTTGATTTTGCAACATTACAAAAACAAGATTAAAAACAGGCTGCTTGTGCAGCTTAAGTCCTATTTGAGCTGGATTAGTTTTACCTGTGGACATGCTGTAATTTTAGTGATTACTGATGAGGTCAGTGATTTTAATCCAGTATAAATGTGCAATGTCAGTACTTTTTATAAGTCTGCCAAGTAAGAATTCCTCAGTGAATTACCTTCTACAATTCACCGAGCTCAGAGCTCCCTCGGTAGCAGCAGTCCTGTTTAAATCAACCTCACAATAATGCGGGTAGTGGAAAACAGCATCTTTGTTTTTCTTTTTTCTTTTTTTTTTGTTTTTGTGACTTGAGCACAAGGTAACAGATAAAATGGTGCTTAATTATTCCTTAGTACTCAAGGTCATGACAAGTTACTAAAATCCACAACATCTTTGAACACCTTTGGAAGGACATTTGTTACACAACTCGTTGTATTTTCACTGTATATGCTTATGCACCGTCTTTTCACATTGCTGCTAATGGGCGTCACTCCACACTGAAACGAGATGTGAAGTCTCCTCCCTCAGCCATTGTCACATTTTGGGTTTTTTGGCTCCATATTTGCCATTTAGCTGCATAATGTGTCGTTACTGTTCCGAAGTATGGCGCCTGTTGCACGGTGCTGACGTAAACATTTACGCGATAATGTTGCAGTCTGAAATATCTGAGGTAATATGGGGAAGTTACCAAGTCCTTCACCTGTTTCTCCAGCATTTACCCTCTCAGTGCTGTTGATTGGTATCAGCAACAATCCTTTTATGTGACTCCAGTTCGAAAACAGGTTGTCCTCTTTACCAATTCAAAGCATGGTTTCTGTGCCAGTCATACATGAAGTAAACACACACTTCTCTGAATTTCAGAAAGTATCACCTGAACCTCAGTCATGCCATGCAAAAGATATGCAAATATTCAGCACAAACACTTTTGTCAGTTAGTGCCCTGTAGCAACAATTGAAAAACGGAGGTATGCATTGTCTTGAGTCGTGAGACTGCTTGTTCACCTTGTTCATAAAAGAACCTTTTCAATTAAAATATGACACTAACAGTCAATGACAGTTGGTGCCAGTTAGCATGTGCTCACTCGCCTCATTTGCACATGGCTCGCGTTTATTGCGTTTATTGCCATTTTAGCCTTTTGCAGTAGAAGCATAAAGTTCCATTTCTCATTTTTGGAACATTGGAAGACAACAGTGTGTCAAGTACATTGTGCCGTTGATGCATTTTTTTTGCTTGTACAATGCTATTGGAAAAACTGATTTGATTAATATGGGGTTGAGATTGCGATAGTGCCCCGCCTCTTTCTTTCCAGCATCATCAGTGATCTGTGGAAACATGAAAATAGATGACTAATCCTGTGGCATCCCACACTTCAGCCTTGTCAGAGGAATTTACTCATCAGTGATGCCTCTGAAGTCATTCCTCACAGATCTGTGACCAGCAGCACCTTCAGTATGGTTTATTAGGAAGAACATGCCATGGTGTCTGGTACACCTCTAGTGACAGTAATTTTGAAAGAAGACATATTTATAGCTGTGTTTTTTATTAAGGCTTAATTCCACAAGCCACTTGCTTAGAAAGATAATCAAAGGAAATTTAATTGTATTTTTCCCCATCACACATATCCATGATATCTGATGCATATGTTTTCCTTTTAGTCTAAATTAGTGTTTCTGTCTAACAAGGTCTTATGATTTTCGAGCACATTCATGCACTGATGCAGTCATTTCACACTGCTGCTGCTCATAGCCGTTTTACATTACTAATCATCATCAAGCATGCGTAACTGCAAAGTGCATGCAGATAATGAATGCAGCTGTTCCCTATTGATGGTCAACATGCACTCTAAAACAGTATCTGTTGATTCCTTCCCTCAAAAGTGCGCTCTGTGAAGCTGTGCCATGGACAGTGCCGCTGCCACAATGACTATAATAAAACCAGAGATCGGAAGTGGAGGGACAGTTCTGGCATTTCCCACAACAGCGGCTCTCCATTTCCTCTTCCTAACGCCATTGTCGCTTTACACCCTGCCCTGTCCAGTGAAAAATCACTTTTTGTTTGGTGGTTGTTGACAAATGTGAACATAAACCACTAAAATTTTTAAAAATGAATGTGGAAAAAAAGCTTAAATTAAGTGAAATTAATGTCAAAAGTGCTATGTAGATGAAGCAAATTGTCGTAGTTTGTTATATGATAATAAACAGCTGCGCTGTTACTCAAAATCTTCTTTCATGGTATTGAAAAGTCATCATACAGTCTCAGCCATTCCCAGTAGGTCTCTATGAGAAGTCTCTAATGTGTTTCTGTACTAACAGGCAGTGAAATTGAGTGTAACCTGAGTACCCAGCAGCACTAGTGTTAGCGGCT